GCTGGTCTTCTCCTGCCGTCTTTTCTTTGCGCATTTGCGGGCACCCACCCGGCCACAGCCACACGATATAAATTGGGGTGTGAATTTATATTTATTTTGTGCCGGTGGTGCCGTGCGGGCCGAGTTTTCCCTCTCCGTGAACTCGGGGAGCTGCTGCCCTTTTTGTTTCTTCTTTCTGCCCTTCCGCCGCTGTACTCGTCACTGCCTTTGCCTCTGTCTTCCGCCCCCGATGCCTGATAGATCAGCCCAGTGCTCCCAGCGACTCTGCTACCACCACAACCACCAACACCACGAGGGATGGCGATGGCGACAGTGCGGCGCCGTGCGGTGTATGCCCTGGCGGTGCTTGCGCTGCTGTGCGGCTGCTGCTCCTCCGTGTGCGGAGCGACGTCATCGGGGAAGGTGGATGTGTTGTGTCCGAGCAATGAAGGGAAGATATGTTGGCGTGTTTCTAGCGAAGGGTCTTCTGATTGGAAGGAGTGTTCGCAGAAGGTGAATTATGAAGGGCCTCTTTCGTTTGAGACGGCCGGTAGAGACAGGAGTGACGGTGAATCCATCTGTACACATGCCGAATCATGGTGTTTATCCATCAACTTGGTGAAGAAAACTCTTTCACCCCAAGAGTTGAAGAGCAGTAATGATGCTACGTTCACGATGAGCTGTACGACGAATGGTGACAGTGAACCTTCTGACCTGTCGAAGTGCGAAGCCGTTACCCTCGACGGAACTCGTGGCGATTTACTTGGTACTTCAGGCAAGTGTGAGTTATTACACCTTCAACCCGCAGCTGGAGAAATGTCTGGACCCCAAACTCCGGTGGCCCAACCATCGCCATCGCCACCACAAGCAGCAACAGCACCATCTTCGGAGGGAACTCACCACGATGGCAGTTTGGCAGGCAGCAGTGTAGGTACTGGAGTCCCTGCTTCTAATGCTGCTGGGCAGTCAGGCAGTGCGGGATCCACAGGGAGTCAGGGAACATTAACATCACCGACTGACGGTGCGGATTCATCAAAAGCCACAGGAGACAGCGGGGCGCAAGCACCCTCAGCCTCCGCACAGCCATCCCGCACCTCCACTCCCGACACTCCCGCTGGCAGCGATGGTGGAAGCGCCACTACAACCACGACCAGCAGCAGCCCCAGTGGTGGGAAACACACAAAAGGCAACGCGGATGGCAGCGGCACGCTCACTGTGTGGGTGCGTGGCACGCTGCTGCTGCTGCTGACGGCTGCTGTTGCCTGTGCTGCTGGGGAGTGACTGCTGCGGGGTACCCGCACACCCACACACACCCTGGCAGGGCGACGCGGAGTGTTTGTGCACCTAGTTTGCGTGCCGTCTCTGTGGGCCAACTCCTCTCCTGTGCTTTGAGGGGTACTCCTTTGCTTTTTTGTTTTCACTTTTGTTTCAATGGTCGTTTGCTACGCACATCCCAATGGGTGGCGTCCCTTCCCCCTCCTGTTTGCCGCTGCCATCAACACACGCACGCTGCCGGCCTCGTGGCTGTGCATTGCACGGACTGTTTTTATCATTTTAATTGTTTCATTGCTTTCGGTGGGCGACCTTTCTCTCTTTCTCTTCCTGGATTGGGCTGTGCGGAGGGAGAAGGAGGGAGTGTGTGTGTACTGGTCGTCCCACTGCTCGGCGGACGTCTTCACCCTTCGGCTTCACTTCACGGGGTTTGTTTTGTGTTTCTCTGTTTGTTTGTGTTTGTTGCTTTGATTGACCGCACCCATTCCGCAGCCTCTGCCGGAGACGTCAGTTTGTTGTAGGCGTCTGCATCTTTTTGTGTGTGTCTTTCCATTGTCTGTTTATTTCTCTCCTCGCACCGCACCAGTTTGTGGTACGCGCGGCGGAGGGGTTGCGGCGGCCCCTGCAACACGCCGCGCCTTCCCGCGCAGGGACCCAGCGACACCGGCGAGGAGGAGGAGGAGCCTGCAGTTGTAAAGCAGTGCGCTGCGCTGGGGGGCGCGATGCCTTTTCTTTTGGGGCGCGGCCTCCTCGACGCGTTCAATCTTTTGCGGGACTGCCGCGCCCTCCCCAACCCCGCTGGTCTTCTTCTGCCGTCTTTTCTTTGCGCATTTGCGGGCACCCACCCGGCCACAGCCACACGATA